CTACAGTTTCAATAGGACACCTGTTTATACATTAAACTTTCATGCACTATTGCTCACGAGAGAATTGTATTTGAAATATTTTAGTCATACTATTATGAGTAAGTTTTTTCAATGTATAATTCAAAATGCTTTGAGAGTCAATGTCAATCATTGATTGTTCCGTTCATGTAAACCACCCTCTGAGAAAAAAATTGCTTTGACAAAGCAAGTTGTTCATTTTAGATACACTGATGGGGTAAATGGAACTCAATATATTATTTGCCTGATTTTTGTTTTATGACGAGTAATGGGATATGTGTCTGTCTTAAAATATCACAGGCCAAGAAGAGGCCTTGATGAAGTTGGTGAGGCACAGTTCTGCTTTTGAAGAAGCAGATCAGCAAGGCTGGCTTCCTGTACATGAAGCTGCAGCACAGCTAAATAAGAACATCCTTGAAATAACTTTGAAAGGTACAGAGTCCGTATGGTTTTTCACCAAAAAGTTTTACAAAGTCGGGTTTGATGAATCATCCAGCTTCAAATGTGTTCTGCTTTTCTGTATTTCAGCCTCCCGTGACGTCACATGGGAACAGACTACTCTAAAAGGGGAAACACCTCTCTTGGTGGCAGTAAGAAATTGCTTTGTAGACAACGTCCGCTTTCTCCTGCTCAATGGCTGCAATCCCAATGTTAAGAATGAAGAGGGAGATTCTCCTTTAGTTATAGGTGAATACCTTATTTAGGGGTGGAGAGGTGGGGAAATGAGGTGAGATTATAGTTACACATTTTAGGTATCAATTTGACATACTGGACTTCAAATCAATATCTAAAATATTTTGCTATAAGGAGCAAAAAATGTTAATCTCAGTATTGAATGCTTCTGTCCCTGTCTGGTTTTCTTAGACGATATCAAGGCTTTAAATGAGCTAACAATTCCAAGTTAGGGACTGTCACCAAAGTTCTTAGCATTACTTATTAATTGAAGTATTATCCTTATTGGTCTACTGAAATATGGGAAACAGAGAACTAAAAGAGGCTAAAAATCTTTCCCCAAAGTCTGATCCAAGGCAGGGAGCTCCAGGTGCCTACCATCTTCCATCCCTCAGTTGCAAAGAGTTTGAGGTTCAGGCTAAAGATATATCAATAGCTTTTTCCATGAAGTGCAGAGTGTCTTCCTCTACTTTCCTTGGCATGATTTATGCAGTGGTGACAGATAATCAAGTCCTCCTGCTTCTTCATGCTATTACTGTTCTTTCTGTCTGCAGGCATAAAACATTCATATTCTCTGCTTACATGGTGTCTCTTCCATTGCATCAGCTTCTTTTTCTCCAAAGACCATTGTAACTGATTTTGATTTTCAAAAATTATAGCAAGCCTGGTGTATCTGCATTACATAGAGTGTAAAACAGTGTTTATCCCTCTTCAGACGTTGTTAGAATTAATCCAAGTATGACAAGTGAAGAAGTTAGCCAGGCCTAAATTCTTGGTTCACTTCCCTTTTAATTTTTTTAATTGAAGAAGAAGGTCCCGTACCTAGTATCGCTCTTAGTGTGAATGCCATTTTAACTTGATCATGCACAAGTACTGTAATTCTTGATTAGTAAAGAACCATATCTTGCTGAGGTGCTTTTAAAAAATGTTCTGTGTTCATTTCATTTGCTTCACTCAGTTTGGGCTATGATGCTATTATTCTTGGTCCTAACCGAAAAAAGGAAAGCGTGTTCTCATTATCTGAGTTCTAAAGGAGCACTGTAGGTTTCTTGGATGAACCTGTAAGTTTTATTTAGAAGGGTGTTTTTTTCAAAACCATTGTTAAAGGAAGAGGGAAAAGCCCACCTACCATCCTTTTGAAATTACTAAAGTTTCTTGTCAGGGCCACCTGCTTAGCAAAGATGTAGAGAATTCCTGGATACTTTTGAAGTGCACTGTATTAAAATGCACCATCCCCCATGAAGGGGAAGTATGGGATTTACCTAAAGCAGCTATGTAGGTTACAGATAATGGGACATCACAGCTTATAGTACGCTGTCAGTGGTGTTTCAAGCAGCTGTGGCACATGAAGCTTCCCTGCCTAATCTGTCTCCCTGAAGGGCACTCGCTGTTCTATCTGGCACAGCCTGGAAGATCAAAGAGAGGAGGAGGGAAATGTGTTGCCTATTCATTCCATCCACTGGAGCCAATGCAAATTACTCTTTTAAGACCCTTACTGACTTAACAGATCAGGCTTATTAAGCTAAGGCGGCATATGACACAGTCATTTTAAACTTCGTTTCATGTTACGGTAACTGCTTATGAAAATGAATGGAGCTCTCTGAGCAGACCTGCTCCTGACTGCAACAAGTTCCTGTACATGATCTCCATCTAGTGGCAAGGAAAGTTGCATTCTGCTGCATTACCAAACGCAACAGACGATTAGAGAGAGAAAAAGAGATTACCATAAGATTATTCATTAGTATAGTTAATGTTACCCTGGAAACAAAGAACAAACTTGTTGATAAGTTAAACCTTTCAGTGTAGTGTGGCATTTCTTAGTGTGTAAATAGCACTGTCAGGAACAGCTGGAGCTTTCCTGGGCTGCCACATAACAGAAGCCATAGTGCATAGAATAGTGTTAAATAACATTCTGGCTGATACTTCGCTTATTGTCTTACAGCAATTAAACGTGATTCGTATGAGATTGCCTCCTTGTTGATAAGTTCTGGTGCAAAAGTGAATTCGCAGGGTGTCCACAAGAGGACTGCTTTACATGAAGCAGCCAGACTAGGCAGGAAGGATCTGGTGAAGCTCCTCCTTCGTTCTGGAGCAGATCCTGACCCTCGCAGTGGATATGGGCTCACACCTCTAGCACTGGCTGCACAGATCGGACATACAGAAATTATGGAGCTCTTACTGCAAAAAGGTGAGACTTTATTATGTAGGATGTTATAGGAAGAGAAGGCTCGGGGTGGGATAGACTTGCCAGTGTTATAAATATCTGATGGGATGGTGTAAAGAAGACAGAGACAGATTCTTCTCAGTGGTGCCCAATAACAGCACAAGAAGCAATGGGCACCAATTGAAACCTAGCAAATTCTGTCTGAACAGAAGAAAACACTTTTTTTCTGTGAGAGTGGCTGAACATTGCAACGGGTCACTCGGAGAAGTTGTGGAGTCTCCATCCTTGGAGATACTAAAATCCTGACTGGACGCTGTCCTGAGCAACCTGCTGTAGCTGACCCTGCTTGAGCACAGTATTGGAATGTATGATCTCCAGAGGTCCTTTCCAACTTCAACTATTCTGTGGTTCTGCTTTACAACTCAGTAGATTGATTTAGTGACATGTAGGTTCAGTGGTAGAGTTCTTCAAGTGAGTAGAAATTGTAAGCCCCATGTGTTAGTACTGAAATGTCTAAAGCTCAAATGGGACGAAGTGAATCCTCTTTCCAACAGAGAAAACTATTCCTAAATGCAGAGGGAAAAAATTGTTCTTAGCTCAGTAGCCAGTAAAAATTTGCATTATTGAAGTAAAAAGAAATGAACTGTTACCATGTTAGTGAAGATACAGCCTGTAGTGTTAATAGATCCAAACATATACAAAAAATATTTTTAGCTATTATTTGTAGCAAAGTGTAGTAGTCATCAGTGAATACTTTACAAAACTGCAAGCAAATCTGAGACATTGCAGGAGATATTTTGTTTGCATTTTTGGATGGCATCTTCATTTATTTCAAGAATTCGACTCCCAAATCATGTGAGTTGAGGTCCATCTAAAGAATTCCTAGTATCTAAATTTCATGTTATAAGAGAGAGATATATGTATATATACACCTATATATATACATCTATATTCCTTCTAAAGTAGTTAGCCTATTTACACACATTTTTATTAGTCTCCTGAAAGTTCCGTGATTGGATTAAAACTGGTTGTTGTAAGATACGCGTTCAGAAATAGCAACAGAAGTAACTTTCCTTACTAAGGAAAATTAAATGCCATCTGCACCAAGAGGATTGTTGTGATATAGTTAAGTAAAGGCCTAATAAAGACTACATTTGCATAATATTCAAGTGATGTATTAATATTTTAGTGAGTAGTTGTAATTGGTTTTAAATGCAATAATGTTTTCTCATGTAGACAGGTCACCTTCGGGAAGGCCTGACAAGACATTTATGGTGGGGGATTTTATATGATGGCAGTGCTGGGATTGGATTGTATGAACTGTTTCGATCCTGGGTTCTCTCATGTTTACAGTTTTATCTCTCTGGTCTTTGTAAGGTAGAAGGATTGAAATGCATGGTATGTAAGCCAAAAAACAATTGTGTGTATGAATAAGCATAGCAGCAAGTCTTACTGTGTAATTGTGTTCAAAGCAATTTGGACTTTCTTCTTCCTAGGATTATCCGACATGAAGGTTTATGCCCATAGTCATTTTATTTGGTGAAGAATAGAATTCGCAATACCATTTCACTGGAGGGTTAGAGATATTAATTACTGCTGGATATTTACATCCCTGATGCTTCTTTCCAGGTGCGGATGTTCTTTCACAGGCAATGGATTGTGCATCTGTATTATTTGAAGCAGCAGGAGGAGGAAATCCAGATTCTCTCAGTCTTTTACTAGAATATGGGGCTGATGCCAACGTACCAAAGCACTCAGGTCATTTGCCAATCCACAGAGCTGCCTACAGAGGACACTTTCTGTGAGTTAATATACTTAAAATTAAATAATGTTGACACCAGAAATACTAATTTTGCTAATTCTACCTTATTCAAAGCAGGCGGCAAATCTGTGGTTTTGTAGAAGGAAATTTTTTTGACTGTTTAAATATGAGTTTTCTGTGTCTGAGTGTAAGACCGCAGTCAGGATAAAATCTTCCTAATTTTAGGATGAATATACTAATTCCTATAGTATTTCCCCACTCGTCACAAATAGTAACACTGTCCAGTCTGATGTTGAGGTTCTTGGGACATACTCACTCTCTTTGGGTACACCTCATCTCCACCCACCACTGGAAGGTGAACGTGCTAAATAAACAAATAGACTTAGGGGATAGGGCCTATGCCTATTTTAAAGACAAGAAGGTTACTGAAAGATTTTCGTGCTAAAATCGCAACCAATAAGTGAGAAATGTCTTCAATACTCGGAATGCTGCACTGTGGTTAAGAATCTGAAGATTCTTAATTCCTATGTTAATATTTAGTTTAAGTTCAAATATAATTTAACATATTGTATATATTACATTATATGTATTCATGTTATAATATATTCGATTCTATTAATTCCTGAATTCCTATAGATTAAACAATAACAACACTATGTTCTTGACATTCAGGAAAAGCTTCTATTGAGAAGGAATCATTATTCCTCTAGCAAGGAATGGAACTGTTCATGAAAAATAGTATAGTAGAATAATATTTTATGTGTAGTAGGTGTAAAGTCAGTATCCACTGCTCGCTAACAACTTAATTGTTAGCACTTAAAGTCAATGCAGAGGTACAGCACGCTGTGATACTGATCCGGTAGATTAAGACAATTGGGTACAGTCATGATGAATTCTGAAGCCCAGGAACACAGAGAATTTCAAGGATTGAGCTAGGTGAACCAGTATATTTAAGATTCTCACATTCTTCCTTTTTTCATTCTTCAGAGCCCTAAAAAACTTAGTTCCAGTTACTACTTTGGATGCCATTAAAGAAAGTGGGATAAGTCCAGTCCACTCAGCCGCAGCAGGAGCACATCCTCAGTGCCTTGAGTTCCTCCTCAAATCTGGGTTTGATGCCAATTTTATGCTGGATCAAAGAGTACGCAAAGGCTACGACGACCACCGGAAATCAGCACTGTACTTTGCTGTTTCCAACGGGGATATCTGTTCAACGCAGTTGCTGTTGAATGCTGGAGCCCTGCCAAACCAAGATCCCATCAATTGCCTCCAAATAGCCTTAAGAATGGGCAACTATGAGTTAATGAATCTCCTGCTCCGACATGGAGCTAATGTCAATTACTTCTGCAGAGTGAACACTACACATTTTCCATCAGCTCTACAGTATGCTCTGAAAGATGAAGTCACGTTAAGAATGCTGATGAACTATGGGTACGACGTGCACCGCTGCTTTGATTGCCCTCGGGGAAACAGTTCGCATTCCCAGTATGTGACTGATGGATGGACTTCTACTGTTATCAAAGATACAATGGTAAGTGTATCGGATGGCTTCATATGTTGTTTTATGAGTATCCTTCCTAGTTCGCATTCCCAGTATGTGACTGATGGATGGACTTCTACTGTTATCAAAGATACAATGGTAAGTGTATCATCGGATGGCTTCATATGTTGTTTTATGAGTCCTTCCTAAAACTAAATGAAAATGTACTTAATGCAGTGTTAGAAAAGGAAGTTTTGAAACTGTAAGTTTACACACAAAGACAGGAATAGACAGGAAGTTTTGAAACTGTAAGTTTACACACAAGGACAGGAACAGATAAGGCTTTAAAATTAAATAGATGTTGCCATGACTGCAAATAATCATAGACAATATTTTTGAATTGTGAAAATATAGCTAACAACATACTAATGATCAGTACAGAATTGGCTCTCCAGGGCAGTCTTGTCCATGCTGTGAAAGCAGGGACTTGCAGGCTGGCTCGTGGCGTTGTCTTGTATCATTACACCAATACTGGAAGGCTATCGTAAGGAGCCCCTGGAGCTGGCGTGATAAGCACTGAGCAGAAAGTAACAAACCTGGACGAGTCTAAAGGGGTTCCTAGAAACACCCATCAGCGTCATTGCTTTGCAGTTCGTGAAGTCCATTTGAACCTGCTAAACCCTTCTTTAACCTGAAGGGGGTGTGGCATGCACTGGGCTGGTGGGTCCCCCTGTTAAGCATGCTGGGACACAAGTCTAGATTCCACTTACGGAGTGGTAGCACTTCTTTTTAAGCACTTACCAACCGTACAGTTGCTTAAGTTCATTTTGGGATCTAGTACAAAATAACCATCTCTCAGATTTTCCCATTCTACTACTGAGGCTTAATGCAAGCTGACGACCTCTAAAGCTGCCCTGACTGACGGAACACTCCTTCCTGGCATTCTGCTGAAGTTTTGTAATTGCTCTTGTCCTGCAGAGGCAAAAGTCATTTACAGTATTGAATATTATTATCCTATTAAACATCTTGCTTTTATCAGTTCTGTGAAGTGATATCCTTGTCATGGTTGAAGCATCTATCTGGGAAAGTAGTGCGAGTAATGTTAGATTACGTCGATCATGTTAATATCTGCTGGAAGCTAGAAGCAGTTCTCAAAGAACAGGAACTCTGGCCAGACATCCATTTGATTTTAAGTAAGTATCTGACGTTTACATTTGAAATTACAAACAAGCTGTTTTGGGATTGGGGCCTTTTTTATGGATAGTATTTTAGTTTTCATTTTCTTTACATCAGACTGGTGCTTTTCTTGACCCTTGTTAGGCCTAAAGTTATGTTTTGACAGTAAGAGACCTTTTAGTTTAAATCCTACATAGACTGATTTTTAAGTTTCTCTCAGAAGTCTGGTGGACAGTAACTGCACATTTTACATAGAGCACTTGAGAACTTCAGTTAAAACATAGACAACACAATGCTTTTCAAGGGGAGAAAAGCTTTTCCCCCTGCCTCAAGTTGGTGGTACAAATCTAATAAATCACTATTTTTAATTGAGTGATTTAATTCTAGTCTAGATTAATTCTATGCTACACAGATTAAGAAGTAGTGATTCAAAATTCTACTTTTAGTAGCTTCTTCAGGTTAACAGAAAACTGGCACCAATTATTTGAGGTTGAAGTACATTCCCCAAACTTCACTACATAAATTTGCATTAACCTACATTTAGCAAACTTGACAGAAACAAAATCTGTTGATTTAGCTGCCAATGATTGTAAATATAGCCGAGAGAGGTATGGGCTGAGATAAAAGGGTTAGATCCCAACAGGTCTTGTTGTCTGGGGACAGCCACACGCATTTTATCTGTCTATTCACAGAATGAATATGCAGCAAAATCGGGAACAAAGCTTTTGAAAGGTAGCAGAGTATTGAATAAATAGATTTAAGTGAATCTAATAATCTAATCAATCATGTCTCCTCATTTCTAGCAAATCCTCGCTCTCTGAAGCATCTTTGTCGTTTGAAGATACGGGAATGCATGGGCCGGTTGCGTCTCCGTTGTCCTGTCTTTATGACCTTCCTTCCACTGCCCAACTGCTTGAAAGACTACATACTATACAAGGAATATGATCTTTATGGACAGGAAAACTTTACAGGAACCTACAACCTGAACTGTACATAATTATTAGTTCTCTATTTCAAAGAGAATGTTGACGTGGATAACAACTGTCTTGTGCAGCTGCTTTTTTCTTTTGGAATTTTTCTCTCCTATGTATATTAAGGAATACCAGCATTTCCCTCTCTCCCCCTGAAGAAAAGGGGGAGAACCCCAAAACGTAAGTATTGGTGATCCCATTCTACATATCTACTGCAATATAAAATATCTGACAGTTATGGCAATAGTGTTTTAAATGCTTAGTGTGAAAGGTTAAGTAACTGTAAAAATGTAAGACTGCAAACTTTGTGTTATGGCCAAGTTAAAGCCTGTCATTAACAGGTAACAGTACCCCCACGGCAGGGTTCAAACTCAGGCTTTAGTTAAAGGTCAGGGATTTAACTAAAACCAGGCAGGGACATAGTTCTTTTTTCTCTTGGACTTCCCTTTTTCTTGCCAAGACGTAGTTTTTATTTGTCAAGTTCTGAAGAGCGGCTTAAGTAGATTTACTTTTCTTTCACTCAATTAAGCAATCCCACATTCTAAGACGTGAAATGGGATTAACAGCTATAGAAACCTGTTGATCACAGCAGCTAGTGTGAAATACCTTTTTCTGACAGCCATATTAGTTCTGCATCTCATTCTCAGCTAGTGATAGGCCTCATCCACCATGTATTTTCATTACTCTCTCTAGGACTAGGTGTTCCTAGTACAGTGCTGTCCAAAGGTATGCTTGCAGTTTTTGGAGCACTACCTGTCAGCAGTCACCGTTCTTAGGAAGTCTTACATCCTACACACAGGCCCACAGCATGGCTGCTCTTTCTAAAAATACTGCAGATGTCAGTCTGTATTTTAAGGAAAAAAAAAAAAAGTCCATCAACACGCTTGACATTAGTAGTATTTATTCCTTCATTATCAAGTAAGCATAGATTTTTTCCTAGTTATACATGCATCTTTATCACGGAAGTTACATAATTCAAAAGTCTGCTTTTCCCCAGAAAAATCTACAAACCTTATAAAATACAAATTTAACCATAATGTAGTTTGACCCGTTGCTTTTTACATGGTGTTTCTCATATAATAAACTAACAAAGCCCGTGCAGATCTATATCAGTTCAGTACCCATGTGAACGTTTGTGCTGGGATAGCCTCTGTACACGTGGATTCTGATCACTATCATAACCACAGCTCTGCAGAGTGCTACACGTTGCCATGTGACTACAACACGTGCACTAAACAGCCAGCTACCATGGTAAGGATTTTCTTCTTCTAATGGTCAGTCTTTGCTTGTTGCAAAAATAAGTTATCATCAGCATTACCAAGTACAAGAACTTCCTCTGAGGTTATCTGGCTAATATGATTAAAATTAAGAGAAACGATATACAGTTTGACAAAAGAGGGGTGTAACTGCATATTCAAAGTTTATTTAATGGAAGGGAACGCATCCTGTTGCCAATAGTGGTACTTCTGGAAGCCAGAATTATGTAAAAACAGGAGGTTTTTGCATCAGTACAAATCTCACCCAGAAAGTTACTACAGTTAAGCTCTTAATCTACAAAATGCTGACTGAAGCCCTGGCATAATATGTTTACTCTCCATGCTTCCAAGATTAAGACACAACAATTAAAGCTGGCATAAGTAAGTATGCCATTGGAGGCTTGTAATACAGCTGTTCAGGGAAAATGTGCAACGCAGTCTCAAACATGGCAAAAATCACTTACACTGCACTAGAACAGGACCAATCCAGAACATCATTGTAAGAATTTGATCATTCCACTCTATTATAAAAATGACCTGAAAGATTGTACAAAATCCTTGGCTTGCAATATAAACTTCATTAGGAATACAAGTGCATTCACAATGACAGACTGACTTATTCTTGTCATGACAACTTGAGATACCACTGTGGCGGGAGGGGGTGGAAATCAGCTTACTGCTTGGTTAAAAAGAAGAGCCTTAAAGACTAATTGACTTGCAAGAAATTTTGTAAAATGGAGCAACAGAAAGAATATATAATATCAGCTCTTGCTGTTAGACTAGACAGTATCTCTGCTAAATTCACTAAGCAGAGGCAGGTTTTCTTTCTCTGTGTGAATTATTTCCAAAATAACAAGAGACTGTATCATAACACAGTTTTCTCTATTGGCTTCTCCTAAATTCTGTGCCACTAAATAATCAGAATTTACCTTAAAGATACGCACAGTCAAATTTGCTTCTTTATATGAATGCACATAAGTTTTTATCTTCATAAATCCTGTTTCAGGGTTTTCAGCTCTGGGCTTACATCCATACAAAGATGAAATCTGACAGCATCGTAGAGGGGGAACGTTCCTCAACTCTTAAAAGATTACTGTTAGATAGTAAATTGTCTTGATACAAACCCAAACAGATTAAGGAAGTAACAGACTATAAAATTCAAATTAGTTTACACTACCCGCTCATAACCAGCTATATATGGCAGAGTTGTATGTAACTCTTAACTTGTCCTCCAACTTAAACTTGGAGAAATCTATTAGTGGCCACAGAGGAATGCTAGGTATTACCTATAATGCAATAAAATGCATACCCATAAAGCACGCTTTATATATTCTAATATTCATGCCATTACATACATAAAGAATGTATGTAGCTTGAAACAACTGACAGCAAGGCTTGCTCAGTCTGCAGCGTGTAAAACTTCGTAGTGTAACCTTACCTAAGGGAAAAAACGTGTCAGTAACTATGAGGCTGCAATTAGCAATGTAAAAAGTCAGCGCTAAACACTACTGCTCATTTGCTCATTTTACACCAGTGAACCTGTCCTAAATAAGCAACGCCCTCCCTGCCATTTCTCATTTGATTCATGTATATCCATCTGTTTTCTGTAACCACTCCCTTCAATCATTTCCCCTTTTTTAGTGGTTAAGCTGAGAATCATCCAACACAACTGAAATGCACTTCACTTCTATGCTGTCTGTTTTAGAAAACTACCTTTAATGGCATAGATCAAAAGCCTGAAAAGCAAATAGTATAATTCCAATCCTGTATTGCTCAATCTGAAAAATCCCCTATGACAGCAAATGCATCTGCCAACTTTATTCTCCTGCTTTCTTCCTCACCTTTGCAGTTTTAGGTCTAAAACAGTCATGGTAGGTTTCAAGAAAAAATAGAGTAATTGAAGAAATGTCAGAAAATTTAATAAGGCTAATGCAAAACAGGCTACATATCAGAAATCTCTGATCATATCTCTCTTGGATGAGACTGCTGACCTATTAACTGTCTTCCATATGGAGCCAGGGCTCTTGCAGCTAACCAGTTAACACAGTCAGTCCTGCTCTGCCAAGCTGGGGGACTAGATTCTAGGAACTGGAGCCCACTGACTTCATACTCTTCCTGTGCTGTTTCAAAACCACTTCATCTTCAGCAAGTACTTGAGGAAGGTACAGTAAGACACAGTAACCTTGAGCTATGCTGTCCTATTGTTTGACAGAAAACAGAAATATCAGTAAGTAAAAACAAACAAACATAAAAAAAGAGAAGACACAAACTTGAACAATTAGCAGAGACAAACTGGCTGCTGTGCAACTATCTTTAAGCCTATATTTAGGCATAAAAAGGGAAAAAATTGGATTTGCTGCCTCTCTGTACATTTTTGTTGGCAAGAATAAAAGCAGTCTCTTAAGGATGAGAGCTGAGAATAGAAGACTATATATGAAAAAGATGCCACTCTTTTTTAGAAAAAAGCCTCAGATTTGTGTGGTCCATGTGACAGTGCGCTAGCCAAATCTGGCCACAGGGCAATGCCATTTTGGCCTGACTGGGCAACAGCAAAAGCAGGTATTTCTGCAAGTGACTGGCTACTCTGAGGATGAAAAATGTACTGGAACAGGAGCTGCTAACTAACTCAGGGAGGGAACCTGGAGACTGTGCTGCTCAGCCTCCCCCTCCTCTTTGAAGGCAGGGGTACTGTGCCCCATCCAAAGCTGCTGTGGCCCCTCCATGGCTGTGGTGCCAGTAAAATCTGCTCCGAGAGCTGTCATTAGGCCTGCCCGGATGCCGCAGGGGCAGGCACCGCTCCCCTTTCTCTCCTGTGACAGGAGCCAGATGCGGTGAACTTCTGCACAGAGATTCGCGTCTCCAGTGTAAGGGGCAGGAGGAGACTGCCTTCTCAGCCAACACAGGGCCACGGCCGTGCCTGAGGAGAGCTAGGGCAACTGCTCCCTCCGGGCACCTACAGCCATCCAGCAGAGAGGGCTGGGGATTCCTCACTCACTTGATCAGCACACGATGAAGGCCTGGCCCATCACCAGCTGATGGGGGCATGTTCTGGAAATTGCTTCCATTCCCGAACACCAGAACTGCCCTGCAATGAACTGTGACACACTCATAACTGTTGTATTATAACTTGGAGGATAAGTGTATTCTTCTCTTTCTACATTTCCTGTTATTTTCATGCCACTATTAAAGAGATACCTTCTGTTCCACTGTATTTCAGTATTTATAGTAATTAGTGCAAAAATAAATATTTCTCTTCAAACAAGTTTTCCCTTCTGGATCAAAAGGTGAATACACATTTAGTACTATACAAAATAAATACTACACAGGGTAGGGAACACGCAGTTCAGGCCTACAAGCTGTAAACAGACACTGCTTTGAAAAACGCTTTACGGGATTGACTCTAGGAACTAGGATTAGTATAGTCTTACTTCAGAGCTAGTAAATTCTGTTTGCAAAATCAATTTTCATAAAAAGACTTAAAGAGCTTCCACTCATTTTCAGTAAATGTGGTGTACTGGTGGCAAGGCATTTACATACTCAGCAGATTTTTCAAATGATGGAACTCAAGCTGTTCCTACAACTCTAAGTACGTTTTTTAAAAGTGAACTCAAAGGCTTACAGCTTCTTATTACATATGCTGGGGAAAAACCAAGAACATGGCACTTGTGCACAAGAATATGAACATTATTCTTATCATTTGATAAGGAATGCTTTATCCATTCCTCCTGCAGCAAAGTGCAACTGCGTCTCACCAGTTCTTATCTAGGTCAGACAGTATTATTTTCTCCTGTTGAAGTAAGTCTTTCAGCATTATATTCACCAAAAAGATCAGGACAGTATCATACAGTGCAATACAAAACAAAAAATAAGATCTTTCTGTCTACAGCTATTGCACATCTCACTGTGGTGGTATGGATTTTTTTTTCTAAATCTAAGAACAGTTATGTGTAAAAAATTAGGTAAAGCTTAGCACTGTCTTATTTGGACATCTACTTTTGCTTCCAGCAAGGTGTTCTCCGTACTGCAGTGCAAAGAACAAATCTCAGCATACTGCTGAAGTCCAATGAGTTTTAAAGTTTTGCTTCAAGAAAAGTCAATTGCACAGAGACCTAAGTGGGGAAAACCACCCCCCAGTTTTTTTCCATACTGCAGAGAAGCCTTGAGAAAACCTAAGTTTATGATAAACATGGTAGCGTCACCATGCTTCATCCGGCATACAGAAGAGAAATTATACTGACATGAAAATAGAAATCACTTAGTTGAGAAAGAAAAATCAAGGCATAACAGGGTCTACATATCGTGAAGTCTTTTCTATAATACAACAGACCCTCCACCTACATTGCCCTTCTTGTAGAACTCGTGCCATTTTACCAGATATATCCATGATTCCAATTTTAATGAAGTAGGCAACCTTAGGCTTCAGATTCTCTCTTCTTCTTTCCATCTTCTCCTAAATCACTGTCTTCCGACTGGCTGCTGCTAAGGACTACAAATTGTCCTTCCCCACTGCTCTGGTTCGACCTGCTGGAAGCAGCTATCAACCGGCTTTGCTCCTCTAAGTCCTAATTTGAGAAGGGGAGGTTGGGAAATCAGAAAAAGAATAGTAACTTTAAAGACATCTACAATTGAAACAGGATACCATTATTATAATTTCTAAACTACCTTTCACTACTATCAACGGACAGCTTTCTGTACAGAGGGAATTAAAAGATTGAATAGGAAACCAAAACATTTACATTTCAGTAGCTGTCACTATTACAACAGCTAACACATTAACACGTCTGTACCTATAATCCATAAAGCACAGTGGGTCAGAGCATGGATCTTCACCTCCAGCCCACCCCCTGCAGCCCCTCCCCACCGCGTAACTGAACCCTCCTCAGCAAATGAAATGATTTGGGGCCTCTGATAGCTGTTCCTTCAAGCGCTGCTCCTCAGTACTCCTATAAAGACGTTTTGTGGTTTATCTCCTTGGAAGAGCTCTTTTTAAATACTACTGTACAAAATTATAAAAATGCACAGGAAATACTTCTAATAATTAACTTAATTCCATAACATTCCATGAGCTTGTACTAAAGAATGTGATAGTAGAGCTTGGGGTTAAAAACTGCAAAAGAAAGTAAAAGGGTGGGGAGCAGGGGGGGAGAGTATTAAGAAATTATGAAATGTACCTTTTCAATTTGTTTTTGTTTGTTCAGTTCTTTTTGTTGTTTCTCTTTGACTCTATCTATTTCTTTTTGCTTTTCTGATGCTCTTCGATCCTAAAGGGCAAAAATATAAATAAAGTAAGTAACAACAGCCTGAGATGTTTGATACAATACCGATTTATGAGTTTGCTCAAAACTATAGCACCACTGTTTTGATTTATTTGTCTCTTAAAGGACTGGTATGTCTGTTAAAGGTAGCAAGCTGAATCCTATCTTGAATATTGTTCCACAGTTGACTTTGGTCAAAGTCTTTGTATCTCAGGTTTAAATTCTAGAAAACAAATCCCTTTAAATACACCACCACTGTGTTACTGCGTCAATAAGTATCTTGTAGAATACATTCTATTACACGTCTTAAATATACTCTCTCCCTTCCATTCACAAATATCCCTTGCCCCAAAAAGATTCTTACCAGTTCTGCATGAAAAGCTATCTGTTTTGCCAGTCCAACAGAGTCACAAATCTAAACACAAACCAGATTTGAAATAATCAGAAAGACTCAAATAAAAATGCCTTTAAAATTAAGACAGATTCCCAAATTAGATATGATAGCATCTTAAAGCACTTGCAGGTACTTAGACTGTCAGGTTTAACTGTTTTTCAGTATATAAACAAAATATTCTCCCATAGAAACCCCCTACACAGCTTGAATTGACCTAATGTCTTGGAATCCATGTCAGGTTCAAAACAGATACAAGTATAACCATCACCAGTACCTTTTCCCCTTCGTTATTTGATTCAAATATATAGCAGACAGAAGTTTGGCGGCTCTCAACTCTCCCTCCTGAAGTTCTAAGCACAAATCCAAAAAGGCGCTTATTCTCCTGGTGTGTCGCGTACAAGACTACGTTGGGCAAAGGAAACTGCCAAAAAGCATCAAATATGGAGATATTAAAAGTTGTTCCAAGTATTTTCTATATGAGGTTTCAATATACTGCACGTTGGTTACTGCAGTATCATAAATGCACCACCAGACCAGAAGAATGTTACAGCCTGATCAAACATGTACTACGAAACACAAACAGTAGATTAGAAGGCAAGGATTATGCAAGAGGAAAACTTCTGAAAACACACCCCATGTAAGAAAAGGGGACCACATTTGCAGTGCAATTCAGCCATCTTTCTAAATGTGAATACACTTTTTTCTTTACAGAGACATCATTCATAGAAATTACATTTGGGACTAAGCTTTCAGTATTTGGTCCCAGGTAAAGGCACGACTTCTCCAAAGCCTTTACTGCAATTAATTCAGCTCTCCTGAATGCTGTAAGCAAGAAAAAAAAAGAAAAAAACAAAACCTAAAAAGCCCCGCACATATCCTCATCGTTTTGTTACAAGAAAACTATTTTGCATTCTCATTCCTAAAAGAAGGTAGACTTAGAAATTTCAAATGTATCTTTTTCAGACTTAACAAAAGATAAGTGTTTTAATTCTGAAGGCCCCTACTAGAACCGTTAGGAACTGATAGGATGAGTTTTTCCCAACCTTAAACATACACATTTAGAATACTGGACATGCTCTCAGTTGAGGTCTCTCACCTATAGAGCTTCCAGCTTTGGGACAGTTTGGAACTAAATGCCACAAAGGTGAAGAAAGAAAAAAGGCTCTATGTGAAATATCAAGACATTTTCACATCTAAGGGTTTCCTTTTATGGAAATGAAAGTAATTCAGTGTCCCAAAAAAACTGAATGTTTTTAAAAGAGGACCCAAAGAAATTAAATGACAGAGCCTAAACTGTGTATAGGGGAAAATGGGGGACAGACCAGATTTGAAACATAAAAATTAAAGACTGCTATTACTGAAGAATTAAGCTGGCCATATTTGATATCCTATGAAGAATTCAACTTACTTCTTTCAAGTGCATTTTTTATAAAGAATTAGAAAAAAAAAAAACAACAAAAAACACCAAAAGCCCCAGAAACTCTGTACAACACTCACAATGCAATTATGCATTAAAAAAACAAAACCAAAACCTAACAACTCAAACACCAAGCAAACCCTTTTGGACTTCAGAATTAATGTGACTCCAACCTTAACATTACCTCTCCACTAACAATATAAATGTTTATAACCAAGCACGTTGTTAAAATGCAATATGCTGTGTACCTAAGATTTTACCCTACCAAATCAGGGAGAGGAGTTTCAAAAGCCTATTTGACCTATTGAAATCACCTCCCTGATTTGCTAGTGGCTTTCTGTCTATTTTTAAATGTATGCATTCAGTCTCGTAATTTCAGTGGAAATTTGCCTGGAAATCTCATGCTGTCACTGATTTCTGCTAACATAATATTATTTCTAAAGTGGAAGAACTACATCGGTGGGTACTTATCTTAAAATGTAAAGTTACTTACTTGTAGTCTTGTAACTTGTGTCTGTGGATCAATTAACCTAAAAATTTGTTTTTAAAAACAAACCAGAAAGTAAGTTTTACCAAAGTGAAAGAAGATCATTCTGTAAAAAAACATGAGTAGAAGTCAAGAAGCAAACTTACTTTAAACAGTCACAAGTGACTAGTAAATGTGATTCTGTCATCCTGAAAATGTTATGGATGGCGCGAGCTGCTAGTATTTGACGCATTGTTTCATAAACAACGTCTGGACTTTCATCAGACTTCACCTCCATAGAGCCAAGAAATCTTACAATAAATAACTGATGAAGAATTGAATCTAAGACAAGGAAAAGTATTGAAAACAGTGAACTCCATTTTGGGTTTTCCATTCAAAACCAAAGATGGACTGCAGTCAGGAAAACTCCTAACAACTTGGAAAGAGATTGCTCAGACTTAGGAATTAGAGGTACAATTACTAAACAGCGAGTCACATAGCTTTTCATTTGATTTAATAAATACAAAAGATGCATGGAATTATTTTTAAAACAAACTTTCAGACAGTTGCCTGATTTAACTCAGCTTGTCTAATACAATGCCAATGTAACTAAGCATTCTAAAACTGGTGTTAAAATAGAAGAGAGAAACTACAGATGAAAATAGAAAAATATTTTTCAAATTATATTTTTTATTTTGCATTGAAATAAAATTTTTGCTTTACCTTCTGTTTCAGATTTTGAGCCTCCAGATTCACCAAAAGGATTTGTGCGTCTATTAAAAAATGAAAATATTAAACCGGGAGTCAGATTACAAGAACCACTAATGAATAACGTAGTAGTCTCATGCTGCATCAAGTAAGAACATATAATGATTTCACAGACTTGTAATCCGGAGGAATAATGTATGATAAATTGTAAGGACAAGCAATTTAATCAGGAGTTAGACATAAATTGCTGTATTTGAGGGCTCAAATTATGGGAAAAATACCAGATATTATTGTCCTATTGCTGCCATATAAAGTTCTGCTCACATTTATTTATCTACTCTAATATCTGAATTAAGCCCAAGTCAAGACCTTGTTAATATTTGAAAAGGTACAGTTTCAGGGAATGAAATTTCACAGAACAGCTTCAGGAAGTACAGCCAAAAGCTAGTCCTTTCATAGGAGCACCACACTTCTCATCACTGTCTCAAGTTGTTGAATTACTTACTGAAGAGAAGTCACTGGTTTTGTTGCAAATGCAGCTTTCTGAAAACATCACTGGGGTTTTACTCCTAGAGAGTCAAGAGAAATGTGGCTATTTCTGGCCTCAAAGACAGAATTGCTATCAGTTACAATGAAAAGTGAAAATACTCTAGGCTTCCAAGTCTACATTTTTCAAAAGCAGTAAAGCAAGGCTGAAAAGAGTATGGGGAATGGGGAAATTTTATTTAATACTCCTAAAGAAGAAAAAGCTCTTCCTCTTTGGCTAATTGGTAGTTTAAAAACTATTGTCAAGGGTTCATAAACTTCAAATTACATTTTACAGAAGAGTAATGAAGGTGTCACCTCTCCATAGTTAGTGTTCTAAAAGCAAATTTCAGAAGAAGAAAAAAAAAAAAAATCAATCTCTTGTCCAGTTATATGTCATACTACCAGTTTTATCAGCAAATTCTTTTAACTGATGCCTAGTTTAAAGTAATAAAATTGTTCTAGATTGAGCTCTAAAGTCAAGATTGCATTGCTACAATATTTATATAACACGGACTCAATCAAAGTCATCCCATTATATGTTGACCTGTGTAAGTACTAAAGGAAAATGCTTTCTATTAGCATCTCTTATTGCTCAGACTTTCCTTGTCATCTAAGATTAGACTGGAACAGTAAATGAAAAATGTCACAGGATCTCTCAAAAGGCAAAAATAAAATTGAAATGTATGTCATCAGTATCAGAAATTAAGGGGGTTTTTGTTTTTGGTTTTTTTGTTTTTTTTTTTTAATAATTAATACTTCTGAAGTAGCATGTTGCTTACAAACACTGCAGTTCTTTATTGACAGGGATGGTAAATTGAAAATACTGAGCACAACTCTGTATCATTTCTGCTATGAAAAACAATATTCTCTAGAATGGAATTACAACTGATGACATTAATTTAGCTGAAGTATTAACCTTTACACTTTCTGGAATACAGTTTAAGTCTATTTTTAATCAGTATGTTCTTAAGGATCTAGTTAAGCCAACTGATTCTCCTGCTATACCAAACAACAACAACAACAACAACAACAAAAACCCTGTCAAAAAAAAAGCTAAATATGTATAATTTTAATTCTTATGTATCTGTGAGGTGCAACTGAAAATTCAAATATTTTTCTAGAGGGCTGGGGGATCCAACACATTATTGTAACTAGAGTCACATAAATTATTTTTCAGCTTTTTGTTGTTGTTGTTGTTAAGAGCAGCTGGCTCTGCACATATGTTTTCTTAATATCTGAAGGTTGTACATACAGTTCCAGAAATGCAGTGCAGATTTAGAGGTTTTTATCAATATTTTTGAATGGGAAGTTTACAAAAAAACAAGTAGGAGAAAATGTTTTTATATTTTGGGGAAAGCTCTTAGACAATTTCCACTTGTCTATATATGAGATCACTCTAGAAGCCTAGATCATTTTCACTCACCTTTCAGGTTAAGAGGAGTGTCATCGTATGCCATCATCACCTGGAGGCAGGGCTACCAAATTTCTCTTGAGTTTCCAAGAGGAAATAACCCAAGCTGCTGGGTGAGCAAGCAATAGGAAAGGAAAATACTTTGTGAAACCAAAAGATTAAAGTAAATCAATAAATAAAAGCATTAGCTGTTAAAGCAAGAAAAGCTGCTGCTAAATAGAAAACTAAACCTTGAATCTAGTGCATGTAATGAAGGTGGTTTTTTTTTGTTGTTGGTTTTTTTTGTTTTTTTTTTTTTACAATTCCATTTAACAATTAAAAAAATTGTTTTGCTCGGCTGGCCACTGCAAATTCTGTGACATGAGTCAGGGCAAAGGCAATGTGTGTTACAGAGCTGCAGCCTAAACGTGGTTTTCTTGTTTGTTTGTTTTTGTTTGCTTTTAAATTAATAACATTAACTTCAGGAATTTTTTTCCTTCTCTCTGTATTTCCTACCTTCCCGACTGCCCTGAAGATTTTCCTTGACCAGGCAGATCTTCACTAACTGGAGAGATTATGTCAAATTGTATAGGAGTGTCAGGGGCAACAAGTGAATCCAAGGAAAGTGCTGATAAAGCTGCTGATTCAGATCCCAATGACCCTGTGCTGCTAGTACGAGCTGCAGGACGAGATTGTCTAAAACAAAACAAAAAAATTAAAATTAAGATATCTTAGTTTAAGGTTGGTTGATAATAAATTAAACCATGTGGGAGACCAATACAACATTCCAAAACTTGGATATAAAATAAAACAAAAACTAAAAACCTGAAGAAGATCAGGGTACAGTGAACAAAAATGGAGTCTACGTTCCTAAGTCAAATTTAAGTAAGTTAAAGTTACTACCGGCATTAATACTTGCATCAGATTGTATTATAGTTCACATGTAATTATATACTGATGTTAAAATAATCTGAGGTCTGCTTCCAGGAGTTGGACACATTAAGAAAAATGTCATTATGATTTCATACAACAAAACAGATACATCATGCAACAAACAAACCAGTCTAGCCAGCTGGAAACCTGGGTTACTTGTACCAATGAATGCTAAACAATGCGAAAAAGGTGAGTTCAAGAAATTTTCCTCTAGCCTCTCCAAGATTTAGTTCTGAACACAGGAAGTGGTGGTGTTCGTTGTTTTTTTCCTGGAGTTTTATCCAGGACTCTCTTTATAGATGTGCTCTTTGAATGACCTGTAGTTCATTAACTTACACCGTTGGCCGCATGCTCTCATGCCTCTGCTGAAAGGAAGGAGATGGAGTAACAGCCTCCAGAGCTGACTGATTTACACGTGCAGCAATTTCCTGCAATAGAGAGGTGGGAAAAAAACCCTGAAAACATTTTCCTCAAAATAAGCTTTAAGATTTTAGTTTTATTTATATGCAATTGACAGAAGTTATAAACTCAACCCTTTGTGAGAATCTTACATTCCTTAATTTTCACTAACATAGTTGTTGGGCCAATTCCCCTAATTTAGCAAGTAAAAATCATGATGTAAGTTTGTATCAGTAAGAATTTACTATAAAAATATATACCATATAAATGACATTAATTTACTTACCCAAATTCTCCACATGAAACAAATAATCAATTTCTAACTCTTCAAAAGGTAAATAACTCTTTCATGAAGTGAAAGTATGTCTTTCCTAAAAAATTGCTATGCTCTTCTAATTCCTAAGATTGTCAGGTCCCTCTAGCAGAAATTAAATGTATCCATCTGAATATCTGTCATGTTAATTTGTATCATATACAAAATACAAATGCAGGATACTGAAAATGTCAAAAGGTTATACCAAATATAAAAGTCACATATTTTTAATGCTTTCTATATAAGCATTTAGATGAAGGAGACAATGGACTGTATTCATACCATGAAAAGCTTAGAATTAGACATGTAGGAAATACACAGCCTAATTCTATGCTATCCAATTAGCTCCAGTTGATCTCTTTTCAATTTTGAGCAGATCTACATCTTAACGCGTTACTGACACTATACATTTTAGTAAAGTTACCTCAGGGTTTTCACTTAGATATATCTGTTTTGATATGTTGTTTATGGTGCATATCCACTGAAAAAAAGAAAAAAGAAAAAAAATTAATTTTTCATAGTTTTTTTAATAAACTTGATTAAATACCTGACTTAGCTAGTTTCAGCACTTTTTCCACTTTCTCTGTACCCTCAGGGAGCCAAACCAGTATTCTGCACACCCAGATTGTCATTAAATTCACTACTATCTGCATACTGCACCTTTACAGTATCAGGTTTTACTTGAAAAATTTATGTTAGTCACACCAAAGATCAAAACTAAAACAAGCTTAAAATCACAACTGTAAGGAATTAAAAAAAAAAAAAAAAATCAGGATTTTCTGTACTCTAGTACTCTGTGACTGCAGGTGATGTTTATGCTCAAAACATTATAGAGTCCATCTGCCTTTTATGGAATTTGCCCATTTCTTGCATCTGTAAGCTAGAATCTATTTTCTCTCTGTGCTATGGCAAACCATCTGCTCCTGCTCCTTGCTTTTCTACTTTTCTCCAACTAACTGGATTATACACACACTACTGGTGCTGTTCTACTGAACCCCAGCTTGTTGTTAAAGGTTGTCACCTGAGCTATCTAAAAGACAGCACAGCAGCTGCACCCCAGGAAACCACAAATTTGAGCTGCTAAAGCTGACTATTAATTCCCTTCCTCCAGTGAGGCACTGGAGGGCAAATGTTTCAGAGTTAGGCTATTGGACAACCTCAGCAGAGCAAATGAACCAGGGCCAACCTGACACAGCCCAGCTAAAAACCTTAGAAATAGCATAAAAGGTCATTTGATATCCATGTAACATTGAAGATTGCAGAGGAATTTAAAACCAGGCTGAAAGTACCATATTTTCTATATTTCCTTATCCAGCTGCTTGCCCAAACATACTTTAAATCAACAGTGCTTTTAAAACATTTTCTTTCCCATCCTGCCCCTTATTGAAAAGTCTATATGGAATAATAATGCAAACAGACACAACTTTTAAATTAGCAAATGCTTTATATCACTTAGTACATCTGCTCCTTTGTTTCTGGACTAATCTGACTGTATTCTTAGACTATGAATGTAATGAATCTATCAGTTTGGTCCATCTGTGCAAGCCTTTGGAAAGCTGTAAAAAGCTGTCCAAATAAAACATAAAGTCTAATAACTAGAACTTTCTTTGTTAGACCAGTACAAGCCTATAACATTAGGCTATTATTTGCAAGAAGTCTAGAAAAACTTTTTATTTTCATCTCTAGAGAAAGCTAAAAAAAGTAGGAAAAAGATACCTGCTGGTGGTTGGGTGGGGGTTTTTTCCATTTTCTTTCCCCATCAGTATTTGCTACGAACATCTACGTTTGCTGACCTACTATTTGACTACTGACATTTTTCAGCTGGTATCCAGCCACTACATGGGCAAGTAAATCGGCCTCACCAGATTTAGCAGCCATTTGGAAACAGTGATCACAAGCAGCTTTGAAAGCAGTCCAAAAGCAAATTATTTCACATGTCTTGAGTCAACTAGTTCATTAAAGAGAAACATGTTTCCCATCATGCATCAGGGGCAGAAGCACAGTTTTGCCTCATTTCTCAACCGCCTGTATCATTATCTATGTCCTAACCTAAGATTTCCTTTATTTTCCATTCCTGACAAGCAGGTAGGAAGGTTGGGAAAGCACTAACAGGAAGAAGGAGAAACAGCATTTGTCAAGATTCCATTACTGCTAGCTATTTGCTGTGGCCTTTTTTCCCCCCGCTTTCTTTCTTCCATAATACTCAAAAGGACTCGGTGGCAATCGTAACTGCATTTTTTTTCCTCTAGGATTTAATCACAGTAATATTTTGTCAGACTTCCCAAAACCTGTCATTATGTATAGAATGAGATAAAAGTTCACTGCTTACCATCTAAAGAACATAAAATAAGCATTCCAACTATTGCTAAGAATGTATTCCCTCTGCGCAACAGAAAATCACTGGACTCCATGCAAACCTCCGATAAGCTTACCTCTTCATAATCTTTTTTACTCTCTGCCTGTAGGATTGAAGACCTGGAAGAGGAGAATGGAAAAGACAATATTGTCTATTTAAAATGCCTCACAAGTACATTCAGACAGGAAACTCCATTTTCATCTCTGTACATTGCACAGCAAATTAAGAAAGGCTGAAGATTCGGTGTACATGCTGAGTACACTCAACATTTAATTGAGGGGAAAAAAATAAATCTATGTTTTTATTTCAATTCAAAATAGAAAAGGAATAAAACTCTAATTGTGCCTGTGTAATACTTAAGCACTCACAAAATGTAATAACACACCATTGTAAACTGATTGTGGTACTTTTATTCTGAAATACCACTCAGCTACATTATAGAGCTGATAAATTAAAAAAACCCAGACATTACCAAGTTAAAAAGACATTTCAAATTTTGCTTCTAAGTCCCTCCAAAATCTATCACGCTATAATCTGGCCAAAGGTGGACCATCTTTCTTTTCTTAATTAGTGAGTCCAGTATTACTTATAGGTAACAGTAACGTAAGAATACTTACTTTTTACCATCAAAAGATGTTATCTGAAAACAGTACCGTCTGTCTTCGCAGTCCACAGCCATTACAGAACAATTGTCTATATCCATGACAAGTCCGCCAGCTACATCACCTCTTGCCTGGCTCATCAAATTTCCACCTTGAGTGAAGTAAAACTGTCTCTCCCAGCTAGAAGATACTAGCCCTGTCTTACTAACAGATAAAAAGAGGTTCTTAGTTTGTAGATTAGGAGTTCAGCTGAGCTGCAAATCACTTGGAACAAACTATCTGGGCAGTTAAGAAAACTTTTTTCCCTGTTTAAATGTGTTAGGTTAGCTTTACAGCTCAAGTAGTCTCTTTCCATCTGTTGTGTTTTTCATGCTACACCTGTTGCTGGGCAAAAAAAATATATAAAATAATTGCTTTCTTAAATTATGAGAAACTTAATTTACAATAAAAAGGCACAAGTACTTCAGTTTTGATGATCAGCTTTTACGGTATTGCTTTACACAATATGCATACTCAAATTATATGCATTATGAATATTGTTGATAAGACCTCTAAATTTGCACTTATATTGTTAAGACTAAGTTTTTTAAAACTTTTTGTTAAGCATTAGCTTAGTCCTGTAAGATACCTCAATTTTCCAAGTAATTTGTACCATTCAACAAGACTTCCAAAATTTTGCTTAGAGCATGTGGGTTTTTTGGGTTTGGTGATTGGGGTTTTCTCCTCCCCCTCAAAATAAGAGAAGAGGAACAATCTGAAACCAAAAATCAGTAACACTTGAAGTTTAGCCTCCCTTTTTGTTCATATACTCTCTTCAATGTTAATTGCTTGCAATTGTGTTCTACTGCAGAAATTCATGCCTCATTCAGTGAGTACGTTACTCTAACTGTTGTTGTAGAATTATTCTACTTTTTTAATTCCTTGGAGCTTATTACATAAATTACAGAAAAAAAATCTGTATGTTACAACTTATTTTTAACAACTATAAAAATCAGCTGCTAGACTTCAATAATGAGAGTAACAGCTACCTGCAGTGGACAAAAGACTACCTCGTGAAATTGAGAAGGTCGCTCAAAGTGTATTTCAGTTAACAGAAAACGTTTTGCCTTGTAGATCTCAAGCTTCTCATATTTAATTAGTAACATGAATCCCAAAGCTTAACAGATTCTTATACAACAATCCTGATAGCTGCGATCTTGTTGTTTTCCAATTACAATCCAGTGAAATTACGCTCTCATAAAATCTAATTTTTCTTTTTGATGTGAAAATTCAGGCAAAATTAGAGATTAGACTAAAATCAGGATAACTGTGCTTTGCACCTGAATGACACTATGTCAGTATAAAAATGAAATTAATAGTAACAAAGTGAAGGAGTCCCAAGAAAGAAACTGAATAGCTGCTATGTGACTGACTTACTCAACTAAGTATGTAAAATCAGCATAGCTAACTTCAAGAAAAAACTGCATACTTTTTTAGCTTTCCTTTCCTAAAATTAAATATTCTGGAATTTTTAGGTTACAAGTTAGTCTTACTTCCTTGCATTGAGATAGCCAGCTTTCCGTGTTAGATTTCGATGAACGGGAAATTTTGTAGGATCAGGGTCTGGCAAATACAGTGGATCACTAGCTACTTCCAAGTCCTCTATAGTTTGTTGCATGTTTTCTACTTCGCACTCCATTTCCCTGCGAACACTAAAGTAAATAATGTATTATTAACAAATATAATTTATTAATATGTAGAAACAGAAAAAATAATTGTCTTTGTAATAGTTCAAAATTCAACAAAAACAACTTACTTCTGTACACTTGTGCCAATATTGGTCAAAAATTCTTCCAATTGCTCAGTCAGATTTTCTGAACCCATTTTAAAAAAACTTATCTTTAAAAAAATAAGAGGAGGAAAAGGGAGAATTTAGTCAATAAATTAACAATTAACAGATGAAACCAGAGGAGGTTAAAGTTTCTCAGAGAAATCTGTTTTCATCCCTCCTTCCCACCAAAGCCTCTCAATAAAAGGAGCAGAATGCATGTTTTTGTCTGCAAGTGAAGGCTGATGCTGACATTGCAGTGGGATCTTATTCTGTCAAGAGAATGTCCACAGAGCCACCCGGACTAAATACTGAAATATGCAGAAAGTGCCCTAGAAAACAAACAAGCTTTGATCTTTTGGTGATCCCAAGGTCTCTCTATACCTCTTCAAGCCCCTCAAGTCTGCCAACTATTGTGTTACGGGTGGGGTTATTTGGGGGGGCATAGGAGAGAGGACTCATGTGGGGCCATCCTCTAACTGTGGACCCTGCTAAGGGGAACTGACAATACGTATCTTAAAAACAGCGTATTCCATATTGGTCCAAAAAACACACCACATCTAAACTGAGTTTAGCCATATGAAGTCTCAGAACAGGATGCTACAGGGCATGGCCCTGCCCTTCCCATTCTTAGATGCAGCAAAAACCTGCACCTGAACAACAGGTTGCGCTATCTACTTTGTTACAGAAAACATTTAGAGCTTACTTCTTAAATACAAGCTGCAAAGTTTCAAAAAGAAGCAAGAGTTTTTCTTGGACTTGGAAAGCTTTCAGACAGTACGTAGAAGTTAATTTCTACTTGAGACACTGTGGCAGTGCCAGATGCTGGAACGTTTGACCTGTTTTTCTTTTTAAAAAAAATACTGACAACATAATTCTGAAAATACAAATTAAGTTTCTCCAAAGAACTTTTTCATAGTTGTTACTTTCTATTGCACCCATCGTCAAACAAACCAATCATGAACTTATTTATATTAAACAAAAACAAACCAGAATAATTTTTAGCATTACAGTTCTTCCACACCCTTGACTGAAAACAGCAGTGATATGACTTTGATGATTAGATCATCTTAGAATAGCTGCCACAAGAAAGAGTTTAACTTTCTCCACATTACTTTCTAAGAAGGTATGCTTCCATGTTAACTTGCAAGCATGAAAGTTTTAATCAGCTATTCCCGTTAGGGATCCAGTGGAAAAAAGTACCCAGCAATGAAAATTTAGGCAACGCATTAAATTTAGCCATCTGGGGCTTGGGGTAGAATTAGACCTTTGTATTTGTCACCTAGACTTTCCTAAAAGATTCTCTGATGGGAGTGGGGGCATGCCATGATGAAATTCATATACAGAGTGGGAAATGGCTAGCGATAGCTAATGACAGCGTTCATGGCAGACAGCAGCTCTGACAGCTAGAGGGATGAGGATGGGGTACGTGTTTTTCTCCATTTGCTTCCCTGGATTGCAAAAGAAGTCTTGCAATGGACTTCAGTACATCAACCTTCATGAAGCACTTTTAAATCTTCTTTCAGAATCTGCAATTACCTGAGCTTGCATATATCCTAGCAAGGGTTCCAGCATAGCAGTTTTCTTTTTGTACTGAAGAGTATTTAATGCACAGAAATAATGCATCATAGTCTGATGCTGTTTTTTCCTGGAAGTATATACATCTTCTGTAACTTCAGCCTTGATCTAAAGAGACACAGATGGGGGGAGGGAAAAAAGTAATGTTTGAGAGTTGGTATTCATCACATGCCTTCTGGACAGCTTTATAGTCAGCATGGAAAAAACAACACAGTGATGCTCTACCCTTTATCACCAGCAATTGCGTACTTCACCCTACAATTCCGCTTCTCTAAATTACACAAGAGAGATATGAAAAACAAATACAGCGTTCTTATCTCCCTGGAAAGCGTCATTATTTCTTTACAAGAATAAACTGAATATAGCATCACAACCTTCATCTTAGTGCATTTTCAGTGTTACAAGACAGGCATTTATTGGGGAAACTTGCTTTTCTGTTCTGAAGCAAACTGTTGAGACTGCTAAAACATAAACTAATCAACCTTCGAGTGGACTATGCCATACATTGTCTTCCATCATAAACATATATATATATGATGAAAATTATTTCTTATCTCCTCTAAAAATCTTTATATTAAGTATTTTATTTTACCAACCTTTTCATTTTCTCTTCTTTTTGACAACCGACCGTATCTGGTAATGGCAGCATCATGATCTAAGCAATCAAAAGAGAATTTATGATCATTTTGATAAATTAATTACCTATGAAACAGAGCAGAAGACCTTTTATATCACTGTGTCTTGCACAGCCAGCTGAAGGCACAGTCCTGTCATATGAAAACCTTTAAGAATTGTTGTTGCCTGTTTATACTTACTTCACTGCCACAAATACTTGGGCTGAAGAAGAATTCTAGCCAGATGCAAACATGGCCAAGTTGTTACAAATTTCCTTAAACATCTAATAATCTTCAAAGGCAGAAACTTTCTAGAAGTAGAGACCACTTTCCATTATGAAAACCTGTATCTAATCTTTCTTGCTTCTAAAGCAGTGAAGCAATTTACATTAAGAGAAGCAGAATCCTTACTTAATCAGTATGTTCTCTACGAGGAAATAGCAGAGCTAGCTAAAAAAATAGCTTCCAACAATAAGGAAGAGAACTATCAAACTAATTTTAGTAAGGTAAAATTTGTTTACTAATCCAGTCCTGACTTTTAAGAAGTGAGCTAGTACCTTACTATTTTTAGCAATTTTGGTCGCATAATCCTAAATTATTTAATAATTACATATACACATTTAAAGTACTGTCAATTTGCTTTAACACTGTAGTACACAAAGCAGAAATTTACAAGTGAACCAAGGAAAACTGGGTGCCTAAGTATGACTGAAAAAAATTACACCTTAATTAGTCACTTTAAGCCGTGCAAATATCTTCACTAGTTTTCTGAGTAAATAATCTACAATAATACTGTCATCTTGTAATATCTGTAACATTAAGTATTTTACACTTACCATTGCTTGAAATTTGGAAAACTTCTTTTAGAGTTAGTATCTCTACAAAACAACATATTACAATTTAAAGAAGTTGCTGTTAACATAACATTTATATATTACAGTTTCTCCTGCAATGTTTCACTACTGAACAGTTGTAGTTCACACCTTATACCATACTGAATTACCAGGATAGGTAAAATTTATTAGGAAAATTTAGTAGGAAAATTTAATTTGCAATTATTGCCTCAGGGATGCTTCTTCAGTAAATAGGAACAGGAGATTTTTGCAGGTTCTGAGGATTAATATTAGCCTTGAGATACTCATGTTCCCTTGCTCAAAAAGCATAATCAATTTAATACATAATTTTGCAACGAACTGTTGCCAGAGAAGTATTTTCCAAGATTCATAAAGAGCTAGAAGACTTATGGAAGAGTTGTAATTTTCATTTCAATTTCGACTTAAAACATTCATAGGTTAGGTATACCCATTCTAGGATGTTCACATTAGGGATTTAAGTTATTTTGATTTTAACTCTTATCAATTATATTTCAAGCCCATTTGCTGCACCAGTCTATTCACTTTAGCCACTCGAGTAAAATCTATCATCATCAGACACATTATATATTATTTTAGACTAGGCAGAACAAGATACAACTGTTATAAAAATAAGACGTTGGAAGCATCTTATGTCTCCATGCAAGGAATCACCTGTATTACCAGCAGGGTTGAAGAACCACCTTACTAAATCGTAATAATATATTAAGTACTACAATTTTGGCACTTTGCCTTTTGAGTTTAGTCCAGCCATTACATTGATGTCATGGTATTAAAATAGATACAAATACTTCCTGAACATGCAAACTATCTGAAAATTATTCTTTCCTAATGTTTATAGTAACTGCAATGTTTTCATCTTGAATAGAAGATAAATGCTTCCATAATATAAGTAATATTTTTGTTGACACAGTAATAGTGTTAAGTTCCTTGACTGTAATACTCTCATGAATAGAAATAACTTACATTTTTTTAAAAATTGGGAGATGCATACTTTTGAGAGCTGAAAAATAAGTGGCATATTCTATTTAGTGAAACAAGAGCTACAGAGATTAAATGCTATGTTTTTGTTATTGCTGCTGTTGCTAAAACCAGTATTTCTTCAAGCACCCTACCTTTTAGATCCCTCTCTTTAAACTGGGTAATAGGAAACATCATTGCATCTGCAAGTTGAGTTGAAAGTACTGCATGGCAAGAGCTGAGCTGTAAAAGGCAAGAGAAAGAAGGAAATTTTAGGAAAACAGTGCTGAGACCAAATCAAGATAGGTTGACATCAATTTCACTCAAAGATGACATGTACAGCTCAAAAAATAATTTTGCACATTCATTTTTTGCAGATATTCTTTTCTTGGTTCTTGATCTCATCACTAGCTTTTTATACAAGACCTTTACAGTTTAGTATTTGTCCCTACTTTTCCAACTTTATTCTAAGTTACTGGATCACATCAGAAGATGGCCTCATCCATTCTGATGACTAGTCAATTTATTTCTCCAGTTTCCCTCCAGCTACATCACAGCCCATCTTTCACAGGCTACAGAGGTAGAACAAATACATCCTTCCTTCCAAAATGTTAGGTACTGTTGAAAGTGAGGAGAGGAATCACAATAAAAATCCTGATTCAGATCTTAACGGTGATAAGTCGTCTTTTGGAAGAGTCAGAGTCTGTCTCTAATACAGACAGCAGGAGGTTCCTTTGTCAGTCAAGTATCTGAAATCAGGCAATACAAATACCATGATAAAAAATGGTTTCTAACTGCCATTCTGTAATGGTTTTTGGCTCTAGCTATAGCAAGTTAAACCACATTCATTCTCAACAACGTATCCTCATTTTGCTGAATTGATTCTTTGTCTTCAGGTTATATAACTTTAAATATATGCTGCAATATACAATTACATGTTACCTTATTGACAAATTAAAGCCATTTCTGTACCTCCTATCTTAAAAAAAGCTGGAATAATTAAGCAGATTAAAGTCTACACATGACAACATCAGCAAAGTACATGAAACAAATGCAAGTACTTGCCTCATCTATCACTTTTGCAAATTGCTGTAAAGTGGAAGTCATAACTTCATCATCTCCCCCTAGTGGAAAACGCTAAAAGAAAATAAAAGGAAGCAGGTTGTTTCCAGCTTTCTGCCATTCACAAAACTCTATTAATCATGTCTATGAGTGTATTAGGTATTCCATTATTTTAAAATATTATACAGTTAAGATACACTACAGCACTCCTATCCTGTGAAGAAGGAATATTTGTGGGGCAGGGGTGTGTTGTAATAAACAATTCTAATTTTTGAAAAAAATGTCTGTTTTTAAAAGTAGATTAATCAATCTAATTAATTTTATAAATTAATTAATATATTTTAATTTTTAAAATCATGAAAGATGCAGACTTGACATGTATGAAGATTTTTATCCAGCTTTGCAAATTATTTTATAATTATCAAAAATTGAGCAACATTTGGTGTTCATCTTAAACTTCTAGCTCTCAAGTTATGTGATTATGTAAAATTTTTAAACCATCTAGAAGAGTTTACTTCTATAATGCCTTGATGGAAGCAAAAGTATGACCAAAATAGTCACAACTGAAAAGAGAAATAATTCAGTTAAAACATTATTTGTGTATTTTTAAGATAATCTCCTGACTGGAAAAAAGCAGTCCAGAGGAGACAAACCAGAAAACTAAGTTAAAAGGTCCAATGCTAATTTAATTCTTCTTTTAATTCGCAGCAGTTATACGTAAAACACTTGAAAATATAAAAACACCCAAGATAGTTATGAAAAATTTTGAGCATTCCTTCCAGCTCGTTAGGTTTCCCCCTCCTTCTTCTCAATAAATGTAACAAACTGTAATTGAAATAAGGGTATTTGGTGTGTGTTTTGATATATGTAACTGCTAACGAATAAGAATATCTTGCCCTAATTGGTTCTTCTAAGCTGAAGCTAGTTATTTTCATTTTGATTTTGCAAATACTGTATTTTTGGTAGAAAACAGCAGAAACAGTGCAAATCATTGAACAGCTGGGTCATTAAAGTCAATTTGGTATTGTTTCAACAACACTAAAACAATTCAAATGACAGTACTGCAACTACTTCAAAATTTAAAAAAAGCAGAAATCATTTAATTCCTGATATAATTTGGAGTATGCACAGACATCTTAAGCAGCATTTCCAATCTGTCATTAGGAATGTAAGACTTAAAAAAACACAACAAAAAATCCACCCTAAATCTCTCTGTTTCTCCATCTCTTCCTAATGGGACTACTGTAGGTATGAATGCTCGCTATTCTCTTGGATCAGCACCATTGTGTTTTTGATCCTATCTGCATTACACCTATTCGTTAATAAGAATTAGCAAAGGAAAACTAAAGTGCCATCTCCCCCCTCTAGAAAGGCTCACCAAACCAAAATAATCAATAAATAGTACTTTTTCCAATTCACCTCATTAGGTGGAGAATGAGGATAGGGAGCCCCAGCCTCCTTAAAAGGAGTGACTTTTTTTTTTTTAACATGCATCTCAGAAAAAGGGTCCCAGCAGCATAGCTACAAATAGGAAACTCTTCGTTGTACAGGCTACCAGTAGAAAAAGTTACGGATTCCACAATCTGTGCTTTCACAGATGGAATTATTCTCACAATAACAGTAAATTATGGTTGTTAAATGGGGACTGCTATATGCAATCTCTTCTCTTTAATAGTAAAATGAAAGCACTTAACAGTAAACAGGCTTATAAAAGAAAAACCCACCACCACCCTAAGCAACTCCCAAAACACTGATCCAAAAGTAAAATACTGCAGAACTTACTAATATTCATCATGGTGAGAGGAACTTCATTCTGGTTTAGTTGGAAGAACTAATATGAAGACAGTAGATTCTTTTGGCAAAGAGTCGAGCCACCGACTACAGCAGTTCATTTTATCTGGACCAAACCTAAATACATTCTATATTGTATTCCAGGAAAAGACTACAAAAATACGTAGTCCTGACCACACAAAGACAATGATGATTTACACAGTACCTGTTTCTCATATTCCTTCAGCAGCTTTGAAGTCAGATGAGTTGCTGCACTTAATTCATTCTGATAAAAAAAAAACACACACACACAAAAACCCAAGCTTGTTACTTTTTGATTTAAATTAATACCAAAAAATCACATATTTGAAGAGGAAAGCATTACAGACATAGAACTTAAAATCTGACTACAAATTTTCAGAAAACCTAATCATCCTGCCCTTCCATTTCTCTAACCTTACTGAGAGTTGCAGGTAATCGGTGTTTTCAAATACAAGTTCACAGCCTGTACTATGGTGCACTGATCTCTGTACTTTTCATGTTATGCAGTACATATCTGCATTTAATTATTTCAAATTAGCTGTCCTAGTTACTGAATATTAGGAGTTTCTTATTGGTAAAGGAAAGAAAAGATTAAATGACCCTCAGTACTACCTGGTTCCAAACTGCTTTGTACTTACAGACAGGACCTAATTAGCAGATTCATGGTACAGAACAACTTCAACTTTCATGATGAAATTGAAGTAGAAAATACAGAAATTAAAAGCTAAGTGGAAAATCAGTAAAATAAAACCACATAGCAGAAAACCTACAGAAAACACGCTAGTCATTAAAGTAAAAACAGCATTAAAATAAAAATATGGAAAGTAAGAGCAACAAATCAGTAAAAAAGTGAAACAGTTCAAGTAGATACAAATTAAAAATACAGCAAAACTCAATTATTCAGAAAAACACACAAAATAGATTCTGCCTTTGGTATAAAAGTTCAGTTACTTATAAATGATCAGTGAAACGTGAATATATTGTGGGTAAGAAAATAATCTCCCACATGGTACATACTATTATACACACTAAGATCATGAAGGGAAACATTTTAGGAATGCTTAGGAAATACAATAACACTACTAAAAAACAAGAAATTTTTTTTATCTGTCATAAGAAATTCTGTTGCAAAAGAAATCACAATAATTTAGTCTTTACCACTCCCTAACATACAGAAAAACAATAATTTAATTCTTATTTTATTCACTTCCATATTTAAAAAATGTGGAACCTTAAATAAATATATTGCTTATAATAATTTCAAAAAAAAGCGAGACACATGAAACGTGGTCCAAAAGCTTTGTCATTCATTCAGGAATTTCATTAATACTACCTGTGCATCGTATATTCTGTGCATGGCTTGAAATAACTGATTGATGTAATTAGAAATGGCAGCAGCATCTTCTTCAAATACTCCCAGCAAAGACCGGGTCTGTAAAAACGAAACAGGCAAAACACTAACTATTTTGCTAATGTGACATGTATTTAAATGTAACAGAATTTCAAACTTAGACAGCATTGTTTCAGGTTTCATTACTGAAAAGTTCATAAAGCCTCCAACACTGTTTATAGGAATGATACATGTTGCATGCCAGAGAATCC